TCTGTGTATTTTAGTCCTGGTGTTGTATAAAGCATCTTATGTAGAAAGACTGGTTGAAAAGTAAATGAAGTCAGAGAAACAAACGAACATAGAGGCAACATTTTGTATATGTAGCAACTTTGCAGGCTATTTAAATATTGTTCATAGATCTCTTAAAATACTAAACTTTTAGTCCTCTGGCTTGGTAAATTAATTCTGAACATAAACTGAAGCATTCTGTTGCAGATTCAACTGTCTGACACACTCAAACTTACAAGTGTCTTCCATATTGGACGTTATCCTTTAATGCCAAAATTTGATCATTAGACCTGAAAACAAGCCTTTTCCCCTTTATGTTCCACAGTAAAAAGTTTGAGAAAAAATTCTTGGCAAAAGAGAAGCATATCTTCTTGGGGCACATAGATAGTTTTAAGGAGCTAGTATGAATGTCCTAATTCAGAAACTGCTTTATCTGCTAATTTAGCTAATTAATTCTAACATTTCTGCTCAATCTGCCTGTCCTGAGATGCATATTTTTATGGCTACAGGGCAACGGTAAGATTCACAAACATCCTTTGTGCCTGTTACAGTGTGGAGTCTAATTAATTAGTGTTGCAAGAAGAAAAGGTGACACTGACTCCTCAAGCACTGTGCTTTGGAAGCGGTGACAGGCACTGCTGACCGTGATGAGGCAATTGCCAAACACACGCCTCAGCCCCACAGTGCTGGGCTCCACGGCAGCGTGAGGTGACTTAGCTGCCTCTGTGGTGCACAGCCGGCCCCAGTGTGCTGGCATTTTCCCTCCTGCTGCCCCTTTGCTTTGCTTTGCAGCTGGAAGCTGTTTGGGAGCACAGAGATGCTGATCAAAGCACGGGCACGATCCTCTCTGCGAGCTGAGCTCAGACCTGCCAGTGGGAGGTGGGATCTGCTGGGCTGAAATCGCCTGGTTATTGCCTTCTGGGTTCTGTAGGAAGCAGTGACTAATTGTTTCAGCCTGGAAAGATACAAATCCCTGTTCTTTATTTGGGTAGCATCCCTGTTCCCACTTTCATGCTAGTGTTAGGATGTTCAATTCTCTAGTTCCTAGGAGTCAGCAATTCACAAAACAATTGATTTCCTTAGTCTTCAATTGTCTTCTCTGCTCCTCCTATTGCAGATTAAATTTCACTGAGAGCTATCTTCTGTCCTATAAAAGGCACCCAAGAGGCAGCAGCCTGGTATAGTCTCTTAGCAGAAGATAAACTTATAGCAATTTGTCTATTGTTATATGTCATTTATACAACATTTTTCCTTTCGGCAGTACATAGATTATCCTTTCTCCTCATAAAGCAGTATAGATTAAAAAATAATTTTTATAGTATAGGGGAAAAGAAAATTTAGTGCATACAAAGTTACAAATACTTTTAATTTGATGACATTGGTGAAGGTTAAAACTTGAAATAGGCTTTAGATAAAGCTCATATACGCTGACTGATGTGTCCTACTTGAAAGAATATGTATGATTTAGATTAATTATACTGTTTCCTAGTGCATTCCCCTTGCACTATTTTCACTTTTTACATTATTTATTCCACATAGGATTCAATCCATTCAGGATTTCACTGAAAGAGAATAAGTAACCAAGTGAACATGCCATTTCTACTCTAATATTTATAGCTCAAAGCTATTTAAAACTAAAACCTCTTAAAGACAAATGTGAGTAATGCATTAAATATCTTTGTAAATCTTATTTAGGTTCCTCAACCTGACAAATTATTCATGTCCACAGTTGTGGTATGCCCAGTTCCTCTGGAGGGACCATTCAGCTGGGCATAGCTCTGCACACCGAGGAGAACCTACACCCAGTGTTTGAAGAGGCAAGGATGGATCCATGCTAGAATGGCAACAATCTCCTTCAAAATTAAAGGAAAAAATGCAGAAAAACAAAAACAAAACAAAACAAAACAAACAAACAAAAAAAAAAATCAGAAAGACACCAACAAATGTTATTCCAGTGAAAATCCCTGTGTCTAGACAGAAAGAAAAAAAAAAAAAAAAGAGCAAAGGGGTTTGCTAACACATTCGAATATGACTTTTTAAAGCAATTACAGAAAAGTGTGTAATACTTTGTGGTACTGAACTCCTCCAGAGACCTCCGTGCCACACTGACTGCACATTTGCCTTTCCAATGGATCATTTAGGGAAGGCAGGAGTGATTTTGTTCCTCATAAAACTCTAAATAAATTATCTTATGGTTGTAAAAAACATATGCCTGATTAGATTTTACCTGGGATTTCCTCTTCTTATAGCTAATTTGGATTCTATTCAGCAAGTACATGGTATGGTGCAAAGCAACGTACCAAAGCTATGGGCACGGTCTACCTGCAGGGCTCCGTGTGATGGCAGCAGCTGGCCTTCTGGGTTTGTTCCTCCACCTGAGGTGAAAAACACAGGCTCATGTAAGTAAACCACACTCTTTGGAAAGTGTTGCTGCCTGAGTTGGAGGAAAATGTAATCTTAAAAAAAGCAGAAGTGAAATTCACTTGAAACTCACAGTGGAACCTGGCTGCTGGCTCTGGGCTGGACAGATTGTGAGGTGAGGGGATGCAGTGACAACAGTAAAAACCCTACAACAAGGAATTTCTGTGCTCTGTACGATTGTTCCTACTCTGTCACCGACGCAGACACAATTTTTTCCCTCCCGCTATGCCCACGCTGGATTTTTCCTCTCACGGTGTGCCCGCAGCCCGCGCTGCGCCTTGCTGTGGGAGCCCGTTCTCCCGCCCTTTTACCGGAACTACAACTCCCAGCAGCCTTTGCGGTGCACCGCCCACTCCATGAGCTGCTCTCTGACGAGGGGGCTGCTGGGAGTTGTAGGCAGCTGCCACAGCGGGGCTTTTGAGGCGGCCAGGGGCCAGCAGGGCTGTGGGGAGCGGGGCGTGTTGAGGAGATTTTTTTCACGTCGGGTCCTCTCCCTGCTTTGTAGCAGAGAGCTGAGACCTGAACGAGGTTTTTATAGTGGTTATTTTCCCCCTTGAGTTTGATTTATGACTCACCGTCCCCTTGCTGAGGAGAGGACCAAGGGCTCCCGCCTCACAGGGACACCGTGCCTGCTCCTCAGATCGAGACTGAGTCTGGCTGCAGCTGGATGTGGTGCTGGGCTGGGCTGAAACGCCTAGTTCAGCCCTGAAATCTTCCCTTAACGTGGTAAAACCTTCAGGCAGGCTTTATACGTCCCAACCGAGGCGTGAATGAGAATCATTCTTCTTCCCTGTGAAGGGACGTGGGTTTGGGGATTTTAAGGCACACCTTAGTGACAGCAAGACATCACCACCGAGCTCATCCTTCCATCCTGCATATTCTCTTAGAAAAACAGATCTCGAGTCACTTGTCTTTCCTCCCAGAAACACAGTCCTTAGATCTGCCGATGGCCGGCTGATTCTTGCTGTGGGAATGTTGGTGCCCCTGGGTGCAAACACCATGCAAACAGCACCCTGGAGTCCTTTCAGTGCTCCCAAACTGTGATGTTCTTTTCCATACACCAAGCTCCTGTGGTTTCAGCATTAGACGGGGGATCTATGACGAATTTTACATGCTATGATGATTTAAAATTAATCCTTGCCCACTGTTTTGTTTTGTTTTGCTTCTGGGCTAGGTCGTGAAGGCTTTGGGCTTCCCTCGCTGCCTCTGACAGAAGGAGGCAGCTGAGCGCCTTCCTGGAAATGTGGTGAAAATGCTAACGGAGCACATGGGGACCGCAGCTGTTGCCACCCAGAGCCTATGTATAGCAGCTGCTCTGCTCCACACACATGTGGCAGACAATTGTATTTGCCAGCAGCACAGCTGAAGTTTGCGTTACCTTCTGTCATTTCTCTAGGCTCAGTTTTGCTGCAGGAGGACACCTGAATCAGCTTCAGAGTTCTTAATTAAAGGTGGAGTTTCATTGAAGTATATCGCTGAAATGTGTGCTCAGACTGTTCACCACAGGTGCACACACTGCTGATGTGAATGAGGAAGGGAGAAGCAACAAGAGGAGAAGGCAGTGCAGGAGGATATGATGTCCCTGACCAGTGCTAATGCAAAGCCCCTGATTCCCATCCTGTGCCACTGTGCCTAAATTTCATAGGGCACACTATTTCTCATAAATATGACTGTTACTGTGCATCTTGTTTGCTGTATGCACACCTATTTTTCTATTAAAATCTGAATGAAATTTCTTCTCCTCAGCGGGAACAGTGAGAGCTCTCTCAGTCTGTTTTTCATACATCCTGTGCTCAAGGTCTGCAAGATAGCAAGTGGTGTATTAGCCCTATTTTAAATTAAAATTCAAAAATGATTCTAGGAATTACAGAACAGGAAAATCTTGGTCATAGGAGAGCTCCCCATTCAGCCCCATGTTGTGCACTCAGCTGTGGAACCCAGCTGTGGCTTTTTATTTGTACAGTTCAACATTTTAAACTCTTTTTAGGCAGCTTTTCCGTTTCTGTTATAATTGCTTTGCACCTGAAACAACATCGGTTACACGTTGAGTGACACCACAGCATCAGCAACACCAGGGAAAAGATCTGTAACTGGTGAACGTTGCCCAGAGAAGCATCAAGAGGGAAAGCACAGAGCTTAGCTGCTCGATCCAGGATCACGGAGGCTTCTTTAGCTTTTCTGTCCCTAAATGAACCATGCTCAGTTGAGCAGACTGCACTACAGGAGCGATTGATATACTGGTGGGACACTGGTGGGCTGAAGCCCACAAACACTCATCTTACATCATACCAAAATAGTGTGTCCCTGATCCTTCTGGGCCTGCTATGCATATTCCTTATGCTTTTGGAGATCATTAGTGTCCATGGTTTCACTAACTTAAACATATGTCTTGATGCAGACTTAAAACAGTTCTTGAACTGGTCTAACCAGGTGTGAAGCACCATGCTGGGAAATTGGATGATTCAGGCAGACAACAATGTAATAATGAAAACACGTTATTTGCATTACAAATGGCCTATAAGCTGGAGCCAAGGCACATTCCTTATCAAGATACAGCCCTCGTCAAGATACAATCCCCATCAAGATACAGTCCCCATCAAGATGCAGCCCTCATCTTGTGCTGCTGTGGGTGTCTGACAGCCTGATTCCAGGGGCGATACCCCGGCAGCTAAACCTGTGTGCCCGGGTGTGTGGATCCACATGCCAGGTATTTTACATCATGCAGAGCAGAGCCTTTCGAAGAATTGGCTTGTTCTTCACGACAGGGCATTTTTGCTCCTTTCCAAGAACAGCGGCGTGGGTTCTTCTGGCTCTCTGCTGCAGCGTGATGTTGTTGGCAGCTCAGGCTGACATCGCACTGTAGGAGCCCCTCCTTATCCTTGGCTTTCTTTGTGCTGCGAAGCTGGTGCTCAGGTGTCCTGAGGACGCAGGATAAGCATCAGAAGCTGCAGATGTTCATGGGAGGAGATTGGCGCCACCGTTTGCGAGCAAATTATCCGGCGGTGTGACTCCACAGCAGGTGAAGCTCATCTTAGCCTCGGCTGCCTTGGCCTGCCCAGCCTCCCAGCATCTCCTGCCCCCTGGGGGGTGTTTCCATCCCCTCCTTCCTCCAGCACCTGTGGCTGGGTGAGAAGAGCACGGCTGTGTCCTGCCAGGCCTGGCCACGTTCCCGATTTCAAGGGAGAGGGCAGGAGGAGGTTGGTGTGGAACAGAACCGTGCTAGGGACTCAGAGCTGCAGCTGCAAGAGCTCAAACCGAGGCAACCTTGTTTCTGGAGCCTGTGGTAGGAGCGACACCAGGAACAAGCCCCGAGCTGGCCTTCCAAATGGTGCTGGAGCCAAAAGGGATCAAAGGAACTCAAGGGTGCTTTAATGACGATCCCAGCTTGTCTGGGTCCTGCTTTGTGTGGGACAGACACGGGGCAGATCAGAGAGAAAACTGCCCTGATCGCCTTAAGTTTCTGCTTCAATTATTTTCCACTGTCTTAGTTTTAAATGGGCAGATAAATCATTTCCTGCAGCCTTCAGGTGTGAGGCAGAGCCATGGCAGGCATTTTCAGCTTGGTCTTCTCCAGAAATGAGGTTTATTTCCTTCCCCTACCCCTAGCTCTGCACTCCCCCACACCACACCTTTTAACCCAGGACCAATTTCAGCTAGGGCATGGAAAAGAATCACTCAGTGTGGGTTTACTCCTTCTTAGACCTCAGAGAATCCCATTGTAAGGCACAAAATAATGGGAAACAAAACAAATTTCTGCTTATGGAGCTAATCTGCTGAATTCTGCGTAAACCAAAAGTCTCTGCTTTATCGTACGGGGAGCCTCACTGAGCTGAAAAAGAGGGGGCTGGTGATTTCTTTTGAATGTTTCTGGCCTGATCTTTTAATTCACGTTTCCCATGCTAAAAAGAATGAGCGATGTGTCACTGCACAACCTTTTATGTGGCTGGGTTCAACTTTGTTTGCCTGCAAACCAGAGCGAGCAGCAGTAAAAAGGTGTTTTGGTATTTAATTACCCGCCTGCTTCGGTGCAAACCTGGGCAACAGCATGAAAAAACTGAAAACCACCAGAATCTGTAGTTTCTGGCGGCTGCAGGATCAGCTTGTGCAGAGGCTCACGTCCCTAAATCCTTGCCTTGCAGGTGCTCACGCCGTCGGAGGGAGAAGGGGGCCTGAGAAGGGGACACCATGACCAGCTCAGCAGGACACCGCGGGATGGAGGTGTGGGGCCCAGCAGCCTGCTGTGTGCATTCCCATCCCCAGTTTCTGTTCCACCAGCAGCTGCAGCGACCGGTTTGGTAATGAAATAACCCCAGAGCTGGACACTGCTAGTTAAGGAGGAGGAAGGGTGACTGGTGATGGCTCTCAGGAATTTGCAATAAAGCCTTCATGACATTACCCTGCCCTCCTCACGTTCCCCTTTGCCAGATTAATGCAAATTTGTGTTGATGCAACGCTGTGAGTCAGGGGCAGGTTTCTTAGAGCACAGATAAGTTGACTCCAGATACGCATCTGTGTCGGAGAGCTGCAGCCAAGGCTCCGCACGGCTCTGGAAAGGTTCAAGAGGGGACGGGGGCAGCCCTCCGGGCAGGGGGCTCTTTGGGGAGGTCTCTGCTGCTCCTTGGAGCTGCAGCAAACCCACTCATGCAATAAAAGGCTTTATCCTTGCATCTCCAGTCACCCATCTGTGTATCACCAAGTACAGCGTGGGTTTTTGTTTGTTTGTTTTTAGTCTTGAAGGCTCTTTCTAGTTATTCTCTGTGAGATAAAAGGACCTTTAAGCATGTAGGCTAATGCTGGCACAAAAGGTAGGCATTCCAGGCACATTTTGTACTTTGAATGAAGCCATACGCGTGATTATGAACCGTGGAAGGTATTCACCAGTTCCTGCTCCCCCCCGGGGTAGAAGCTGGGAGAAGCAGCAGGAGTGGCTGCGCAGAAAGCACGGAGGAGAGCGCGCCTGGGGCTTTGCACCGCCGTGCTTACAGCATCACGTCACGGCTGGATTCTGCTGAGCCGAACATTTCATTCCTGTGAGCAGGCCTCTGCTCCTGCGCCTGCCACCGACCCCTTCCACGGCTTCTGGCTTCGGGGGAAAAGCTTTGATGGTCGTGGAGCTGTGAGAGGCAAAGCAAAGAGCCAGGGCTCCGCTCCCTGCGTTGTTTCGGAGGGTGAGCGAAATGGAGCAGAACGCTGGCCTGCCAAAATGCGGGCGCTGTGGGGAGCCAGCCGGCGCTGCTCCAGGGTTGTGTTTGGGAAAACCCTAAAAATGCCTCCTCCCACCCCCAGTGCTCTGCTGCAACACCCAGCTGAGGAGGTCTGGGGGAAAATAGTTCCTGGGATGGGGCATCGGAACCGCTGCCGGAGGCACTGGTTTACCACTTCTGAAACTTCCATGTGAACCAGGCAGGTTTTGAATAAAAAAAGCCTGATTTTGTTGGAAAGCATGGAAATAAAAAGGCTGTGGGAGAAGGTCGGCATTTCCTAACAGATCAGCCCAGGCTGTTTGCTAAGGGAAGAGAGAAGGTGCGGCAAGGATGCCCGAACCTTGCTTGTGGCATATTCTTCCCCAATGAAGCTGATTCATATTTGGAGATGATTTGACTGCAGGCAGATAGTTTGGAACATAATGTATTATGCAGATCTCTACCTAATTTACTTGTCAAATTAGATCATTAAAATGCTTCGAGCACTCACGGCTTGGTTTAATTCTGCAGTGTTTTTAAGGCAAACTTGTCGCCTTTCCTCACCCAAATCCCGGCCCCGTCTTCTGCCATCCTGCTGCTCCCAGAGCAGGCCTGGAGGAGGGACCCCGACACGGCGAGGGCTGGGGGCTTTCTGAAAGGAGTTTCAAGCCGAGGCTGCAGGAGGTGGTGGCTTCACCCGAGGCTTTCCTGTGACATGGTAATTGAGCTGCATTTTTGTGGCTCCGTGACTCTGACACCACAGCTCTGCACAGACATCAAATTGCACCTTGTAGGAACCAGGGCAGCTGCCTTGGAAGGTCCCACAAGGAGCAGAGGTCGAGTTTTTGAGATTTGTAACGAGGGAAAACACTAATTGTAAACATTTTGGGCTGATTCTCCTAAAAAGTGTGTTCCAGCCTGGCGTGTTCCTACCTCCCCGCAGATCTTCAGCGTTGACTCCGTCCAAATTGTCAGATGAACGCTGCCTGGAGCGTGGTGCCGAGCCAGGCGATGGGTGTCCTTGTTGCATAAGGCAGAGCTTTGGCCAGAGGAGATTTCAGCAAGAGTGGAGAGGGGCGGGGTGTGGAGGCCACACTCTGTAATTGAGGATCAAAGGTAATTGTCTCTGCTGCTCCATGTGTGGGGCAGCCGCTCAGCTGCAGGAGGCAGGAGCGTCGGGAGGCAGCTCACATCCAAACGTTTTGGCAGCAGGGAGAGGTGAAGGGGTAAGTCCTAATTTTACAGAATCTGTGCCCTTTTTTGTAAGAAAAGCCTTTCCTTAAGGTAGGTTGGTGATGCGTTTCTTTGGTAAGAGGCTTAAGTGTAATTTGATGGAGCAAAAACTGCCTGTAATGCGCAGAAGTGTGGCTGACAGAGTAAGGATATTACTAAAAGCAGTTAATAATTCTTAACTACTGAAGCATTACCTAGTTTATCTCACCTGTGGGGAAGAAATGTAGAGACTATGGGAGTAAAATGGAAAAAAAAAGGCAAAGCTTCTCTAACAGCTTTAGAAGTGGCTTATGTTGGGATAAAATCTCTATCTAGATCTATGAAATTTGATCTAATTTCTGTGGGATGAGATTTTTTTCCACACTCATGACACCACCAGAAGTTCTAACTTCCCAATTAAAAAGTGGGGAATTGCAGCTTTTGTTTTGTCTCCTCTTATTGAGTGAAGGGAAGCACCAGTAACTGACCTAGTCTCGATTTCCTTTCACTTCCCCGGTTCTGTATTCCTCTCATATTTACTGGATGTATCACTGAATAACGATTAGCATCAGTCTGAACACAAAGCTTTAAAATAAATGTGTATGTTCTTATTCTTGTACCAGCCTCTGCTGCAGCAGGAGCCGCACGGTCCGTGCACAGCTTGGCACTGTAGTTCTGTAGGTGCAGCACTCTGCACGCTTCCAGTTTGTCTTCCAGCAGCAGCTGCAGAGTTAGACCTAAAATTCCAGCTGCAGTGGCAGAAACCAGACCTCCACCAAGCTCCCCCTCAGAATCCATGAGCGATGAAGAGAAAGGGATGAGCGCTTTGTGAATTAAGCTGCTTCAACAGAGTCTGAAATAATCCAGCTCAAGGCAAAGTTATGAAAGTAGCTTGGTTTGGAGAACGAACCCGTAGCAATTATTGGGTAACCAGTTTCTGGGAAGCCATCTGCGGAGTCTCCTTGGTGCAGCTCCCATTGTGCAGTGGTCTGGATGGGACTTACTCAGAAGTGAAGGCAGAAAGGGATAAAGAAGTGCAAAGGGAGCTTTTTATGGGACAGGGTGAAAGAATGGCTCACTGTAGGCTGTCTCTATTTGGTGTCATCTTTTGTGTTTTAAGGTGTTTTGTGGTCTTGGGATTTCAGCTCTCTTGGGTTTTAAATTATCATTCACCAAACCTGGTCAGTCTGAACAAACCGAATAGGATGGAGGTGCTGCCTATAGGATAGACTTTTTTCTTCTTCATTTTAATGATATATTGATATATACTATACATATATATTATACACACACATATTTTTGCGATATATTTTATTCATATAAAAATATTATGATATATACAAAGGCTTTTTTTTTCCTGTTTTAAAGGTTTCTATTCTACTAACTCTCCTTTATTGCCATAGAGAAGACTTCCAGCAGCTGCTCAGAGGCGAAGATGGATTTTAAGAGCATGAAGTACTATCTGTACTGGCTGTACTGCCAGTTCGAGCTCATCACCTGCAGCTACCTCATGGAGCCCTGGGAAAAAATTCTCTTCTACACTTTTAACATCACCATGCTGGTGATGATCTCGTACACTGCTTACCTCTTTATCCCCGTCCACATTAGCACGGCTTTCCAATTCTTCTTGCACTTGCTTGGAAACCAACATGAGAACGCTGTTTCTATTGTGAAGTAACACTGGCAACCTGACGCTGGCTTCTGGATCCAAGAAGTGGTTTTTTTTTTTTTTTTTTTTTTTTTTTTTTTTTTTTTTAACACTCCATTTCTGTTTAGAAAGACAGGTTCAGGGCATGTGCAAACACTGTTTTACTCCGCAGTACCTCTTAGTTTTCTTCTGTGTTCTGGGACTCTGTGACAGCAAATTATTTTGCCAAAACTATTTCAAACAGTCCTTGTTTTTATCATTTGACTGACTGCTTTTTAAAGAGCTTTCAGTTTTAAAGACTGGCTGGAGTTATGGAGCTGGGTTTGGTACAGAAACGACTGTGCTGCATATATTGTTATTCCAGGGAGAGCTGCTTGGATATGGAGTTTTCACCTTCAGAAATGACACGGCATGTGTTTGGTCTGGTCCGCCACAGCTTTGCTGACGGGAAAGATGTATACATGAAAGATTTTGTATGACATTTTACAACCATAAGCTGCTTCCATGTAACTAGTCTTGGTACGTATATATACATGTGATGATCTTAGTATTTATTCCATTTGCCTCAATTATTTAGCGGTGAATTATTTGACTGATTCATTACCATTATGTAAACAACACAGCTGATTTATTGAAAATGTGGGGGGTTAATTTCATACAAATTTAAAATAAAATTTTGATTTTCTTGGACTTAAAAAAATTGTTTTACTTTTAAAAGTCTGGTAAAGCACACGTTTCATATGCAAAACACTAAACTACACGGTCAGTTGCGGTTGGGATGTTTTACACTCTTCCTGTTGAATGGTGTCTGGAACACGAGCTCCTGAGAGTTCAGATTTTGTAAGTAAAATCCTGGGCATCCTGCAGTCGGCTCCTTTCAAGTCCACACCTTCGTCTTTTAAGCATGACGTGCCTATGCTGCCAGCTTGTTAGGGGGGACATAGGAGCTGGTTGGGGTGGGACACCACCACAATGAAATCGGGAACTAGATCAGTGCTCTGCATCAGTCCGACAGACAGGGACAGAGTGCACACAGGGTGACATAAATCCAGCTCCGCTCCCACCTGCACCGAAGTGAGTTCCCCTCCAACTTCTGAGCTTAGCGCTGCTTCTCGAATATCCTCTCCTTCAAGAGAGCAGGATGCTCCCAGGAAGTGTCAATCAAGTTACTCAGGAACCGAGATTTGGTCACAGACTGTGACAAAACAAACTAAAACACTCATCAGGTTACTTGTCATTTCAACACCAGGTACAGTTACTTTCCCAATTTATAATTAGGGGCAAATGAGGGAGGATATGAAAACAGCTTATTTGTGAAAGCAAAGGAGTTTAAACTTACAACACTTTTGACAGGACGTAGGCAATCCCAGCTACGTTTGTTTAAACAACAAGCCTATTTAACGCTTCCTGCTGATAATCCCATTTTAAGTTTTATTAAAGTAATAGAATGGCTAAAGTGATAGATTTCTTGCATTTTCTCCTAAGAGCTCTCATGCACAGGACATGTAGTGCCTTTAGTGAGATTTAGGAACAGAAGGGAACGCAGTGTTTTAGTCGCATCAATTATCAAACTATTTGTCAAGATGACCCTTCGGTTTCAAAACGGTCAGCCCCTAATGGAAGCAAGTAAATGCCTAAATTACAGCACGACTACACACACAGCCGAAGGATTTGTTGACACAAAGGAACCTGGCATCAGGCTGAAGAGCCAGGAATTGTGCTGGGCGTGTTTGTGAGTTTTGTTTATTGCCGCCCTTTCCCTGTCCTCCCAGCGCAAACCCACTGGATGTTTGCTGTGGTTGCCGAACCTCCCGCTGCCTCTTTTGCAACAGCTGGCACAGGACGGGCTGCGGAGCTTCCCTGTTTGCAGGCTGCAACCCTACCTTGGGGCTGGCTCCTGGGTGTCTGCGAGTGACAGCTCAGCTGTTCGCTCCGTCCAGTGACAGCAACGAGCCCGAGGGCTCGGATGTGTGAGCTGGAGAGGGCAGAAGGCCCCCAAAACCAGAAAAGGAAACAAAGAGAAGAATACTCAATAATTTCACTCATTCGGATCTTTTCCTGGCATGCCGCTATGGCTCCTAACTACAGGATAGGATTTAAATATTATTTTCAAACTCTGCTTTGCAATCTGTTTCAAAAGAGCACAAACACAAACGCCAACCTGCTGGGGCACGCTGCCCCTGGAAGCCGTGCTCTGAGCAGCAGCTCGAGGTGCCACACTGACAGCATAAGGCCATGGCTCCACATCTGCTAGTGCCAAAGCCGGGCACGCTCACCTGGCTGTGCAGATTTGATCCGGACCAGGCACTGGCATCCTTGGGTGTCTTAGAACAGCCACAGCACCTTGTACATCATTTATCCTGGCTGTGCACACGCACAAGCTGCACGAGTGGGAGGTTGTTGTTGAGACGCGGGGCTGGCTGGTTAATCTCCTACACATCAATGTCACAGGAGTTGCGTGCTTAACGAGAAAATATCCAATCCTTAACGTCACTGCGTGCCACGCGGGAGAGAGGCACTCATTTCACACGCCTTTTTCCCAGTGTCACTGGGGGTTGAGCTTTTGGGTGTGTGCGCATGGGAGAAGATCGGGGTGTTTGCAGATGCTGGTTGCAGGGTTTTATTAAGCAGCAGATGCAAGAGTGAGAGGCGCTCGTTGCTTTCTCCCAGGGCTGCTAACCACAGCATGCTCTCGTATGTGCTACGTGTACTTGCTGAGTGACTTTCTGACAAAAAAAGGAATTAATTGTTCTATTTGCAAACGTGGGCTTAAAACAAACAAGCAGCATTAATTTAAGTTCATTTACCCAATATGGTGTTCTAATGTCCTTTCCATTCCCATCTTTGTGAATAGTTCAGACCTAGAAAGAAGTGTGGGCAGACACGAAACACTGTTCATATTGCTGCTTAACCAACTTTTAAAAAGGACTCTCACGTTTAAATCATACAACTTAACAACACTGGTTCAGCAAGAGTTGAAACTAAAGAACGAAATAATAAATAACTGCTAAAGTAAAACAGCTCAGGCTGTTCACTGTGAACTGTTTGATCGTTACAACTAGGATGTTATAGTAGATGCGCAGCTTCCTCATTATGAAGGTTTATTACTGTAGGACTTTTACAACTCATCTCATAAAGCTGTAATCCCTATTTTATAGATCCAAATAGTTTAAAATTCCTACAGGCAATGAAGATAATGATTTTGTTTTGCACAGAACATTATCTCCTCTGCTACCGATTGCTTCTAACAATTTTTGAGGCCTGAGATAAGTTGGTGACCCTCGTTAACTTTTATTGGTTTTGCTACTCTGACATTCACATTTTGTCTATGCTACTACTTACATCTGGCTGCAATATGAGTTATCTTCGCTGCCTGCTATATGACTTGAAAATCCTGTTTCCAAGATGAACTTGTCAGCGCTTCCTGGCCTCTGCATCCCGCAGAACATACTCCATCTTGCACGTGTGTGTTTAGAACAACGTTGGGTTTAAGGACGACCTGCTTCCTTTTCCAAAGCCAACCTGAAATCGGTCAGTCCTGCCTGGCTGAAGCCTTCTGCCTAATTTTTCTGCTCAGCTCAAAGTACTTTGTGCAACAGCCTCGTAGTAGTCTTCCTGGATGAGATCTCCGATATATAAGTATCTACACAGAGACTTTTCCAGGTATTTCCCTAAGTGACACAACTTGAAATTGGGAAAATTGTCCTGATATTGCGTCTCCAAGGAGGCCAGGGCTCTGCCTCCATTCCTCTCTGTGTCTAGTGCTGTCTTAAACCAAAGTGAACATCTCTGCTCCTTGGTGGATTCAGGACTCCTAAAGGACCTAATTCTGGATTGTTTTGAATATGATATTCATATTTTAAGAAAAAAGAAATCTAAAACAAACCTAGAGCTTCAAACAATGTCTTTGAGGGCTTTCTCTTCTGCTGCATTCATGCTGGCTTAAATATGACAAGCCTCCTTACATTAGCACAAATTACTTTCAGGAGAGGTATGGGTTAAAAGTTGCAGCCCTTTATAACTCAGGTCTACCCAATAAAAAGGTATGAATTAACATAACGAAGGTGTTAACCACCATCGTTACAGCCTATGTAACATGAAGGCACATCATGCTAAGCGGTATACAAACAACCTGCCAAATAATTTACAGCTTAACTCGTTTCCTTCTCTTATAAAATTTGTCACTAAACACTGGTTATTTTTGGTCTTTCAAGTCCTTCCAATCCTTAGCACAGCTAAAGCATCTTAGTCAACGTAAGAAGTTGTCACATGTATTTGTTTCATCTTATAAAGCTGAATATTCAAATTATGCAGACACCTTTCTTGATTAAGCTGTGTTTTTCACCATGGAACTGAAATCCTGACAAGTTTTAAACCTCATCTCTTCCTGCTTTCACCATGTTCCCGTCCTAAGCTTATGATGAAGGTGAAATACAGAAAACTTAAAAACAGGTAAATTCCAAAAGTAATAATATTCTTTGCTACATAATTATGCTTTGGAATGAGCTGCAGCAAACAGTGCCAAAAGAGCTCTGAAAGCAACACGAACCTCACCCATGTTGCGAGCTGTTCTGGCAGCACACAGCTCAAGTCAGCGGCCGTGGTGAAGTGCAGGGAGGGGAATCTGCCAGCAGGAGAGGTTACCAGCAGCAAGTCCTTAACATCAAGACGAAAGCCTTGTCTTATTTTCACTGAAGGTATAACATTTGCATTTAAAACAACCTAACAGAAACTACATCAGCATCGACAAGAACGGAACCAAGTTTTCCTGACTTTATGGCCACCTTTTCCTTCCAGCAGCCGAAACTACTGCCCTTCAGGCCATTAATGTGAAGGAACAGTGACATCAGGTGGACTGTCACATTAATCACAAGAACATCGCAGCTTTTCTACAACTTCTACAGAAATGTGTGAACCTTCTGTGACGTGCTGACAGGCGTGAGCTCAGTAACTTGTGAGATACCTCAGCTTTTCTGTAGACTGTCCATGCAGCACTTCAGCTTTCTCAGGGCTGGATTAGTGCCAGACCTCCTGGAAAAAGGTAAATTTCACCTTAAAGCCAGAAATAGAGACAGCTTTCATTCCGCCCTTTAAGCAGGTGCACTATTATTGCATGCATGTGGGTAGGATCTGCATGCCTGGAACAACAGCCTCTGGTAGCTCCCTCATTACAAAATTCTGAGCAACAGCTCTCATGACAATGGATTTGTTTTTTGGTAGAACTTTACATTTCATTTAAATGATCTAGAATTGAAGTTAATACATCAGATGCTCACAGAAACATGTTCACTAAGGGAACTGAACCCCCCCCAAAGTAATTTACTGTTAAACAAAATTAAGATCCAGCTCTAAAAACCCCAGGTTTAGGTATAGTTTTTCATTTTCCCTGTCTCCCTCCCTCCCATCGTTAATTCAGCGGGGGGGTGGAAACATGAAACTCCCTTAGCGTAAGGAACTATTTCTTCCCACCATTTCTAAGCAGGGAAGTTAGGGCTAAGGGCCTGTATGGAGCCTTATTTGGTTTCTCACTGAGAAATAATTAATTCT